GATGCTGGGTATAATAGGAAGCCACCGGTACTTAAGAAATAGGTAGTAGCGTGGATTGATGGATGACAGTCTGCCTGAAAGTGCAAATAGAATTAATAGGACATGGGAACAGATTAAATATGAGAGTCAACATGTGAGAGAGTGAATAATCAAAGATGATTACTGGTTTGTGAGTTTGGGTTCCTGCAAAGATGGTGGAGCCCTCCCTAGTAATGGGAATATTAGTAAGAGGGGAGGATCTGGAGAAGATAATGGTTTGAGTTTTGTATGTCTAATAGGAGATACAATACTGTAGGTTAGTAGAGAGGTTAGGGTTGGGCAAATAGATCTGAGAATCATTGGCAAAGATATGCTAAATGAACCCAGCTGATGAGATCACCAAGTGAAATAGTATAGTGGGAAAGAAGAGGAAGACCCAGGACAGAACCTTGGAGCACATTCAGAGTTTGCAAGCAGGAGGACCTGAATGAAGACCCAATAAAGGTAGGTCCAAGGAGAATCAGCAAAGAGAATTGTCATTAAAACCTAGAGAAAAGAGAGTATCAAGAGAAAAGGGTGATTGACGGTGTCAAAGACTACAGAGAGGTCAAGATGGATGAGGATTGAGAAAATATCATTAGATTTGGTCATTCAGAGGACTGCTTATGATTTCAGTTGAGTGATGACACCAGAATTAAGAAGTGGATGAAAGAAAAAAAATGGAGACACCAATTATGGAAGGCCTTTTCAATGAGTTAAGCCAAGAAAGCAGGGAGAAGTATAGGATGATATCTAGTGGAGAATGATGGCTAAAGTGAAATATTTTTTTGAGAACAGGCTAATTTTGGGAAAGTTTGTGGGCAATGGCAAAGTAGCCAGTGGACAGGGAAGAACTGAAGATTAGTGAGAGGGTAGAATGATTGGAGGGGCAAACTGTTGAGATCCCTTGTACATATGGAGGAGTTTGTTTTAGTAAGCACAAAGAAAGGGCCACTCCTGTATGTGTGTGAAATGTGTAAAATTTAAAGACTTGTAAAATTTCAGTTATTTTAATTTATTAATCACTAATTGATGAATTATTTGGGCAAAGAAACTTGTGATGCAAAATAGAAAATTACTCAATTTCTTTTATGTAATTCCTTTCTGCATCTATTGTAACATTGGAAAAGTGGCTGAAATAAAAGAAGAGCATACTAAAAAAATCCTGCTAGTTTTTATGCAATCTACAAATATTAAATTAACTGTTAATAATCTAAGTATGATATCTCTGTCCAATAACTAATGAATTGCTATTCTCCGGAGAAAAGAAATAGCATCAATATTGACATTCTTTCTACAAATTAAACCAGAATACTTTAAGGATGATATTATCAAATGTAAAGATGTCTTGCAGATTCTCCTAGAGATACACATCGAGGTATTGCCTAAGTTGATTTCATCGTGTGCCCGCAGATGAGAAGAAATACCATTTGAATGGATAGTTTGCCTTGAATAGCTCAAACTTGGTGTAAACAAAAAACACACCATGGAGATAATTGTACCTTAAGTGACAACTTTGGTGGCAAAGTATAAACAAAATTAGAGGAATTCTTTGAAATATCTGACAAAGTCCTCTAAACAAAGTCAATCTATAGCTTAATGTTCACTGATTTCAATATGAAGAGGACAATGAGAAAGTTGAAAAATATATTGGAAAATATGATTCTCAATTAAAAGATGAATAATGAGAGACTCAGAAGTCCCAAATAGCATACATACATATATGTGTGTGGAATAAATAATATATAATATTAACAATATATAATATATAATATAATATGCAACAATATAATAATAAATGATATTTACACAGATATTTTTTTTAATTATAATTTTTTAAAATTTGGTCAGCATTGAAGGCCATAAATATTAAATGTTTTATATATGTATATATGTGTATATATATATATATATATATATATATATATAATTTTCTATATATAATTATATATATATAAAAGGATGGGAAATAGTGGATTACTGATATTGGAGTCTTTTTTGAGGCTACTCTCTGTGTTAAGTGAAACTATGAACTAGTTAGAATAAAGGTCAAGGTAAATACCAGTTTAGAAGAAAGGAAAAAATGAATTAATGAATTTGAAAGGTCTGTCAATTTCATCTTACCTCCTGTACTTTTCAATCCTGTGACATTGGCCTCCTTGCTATTCTTTACATGAGAAACTCTTATCTCCTGACTCTAAACGTTTTCAGTGGCTTGCCCCCTTTGCCTGGAATGCTTTCCCTCCTCATCTCTACCTCTTGGTTTCCCTAGCTTCCTTCAAGTCCCAGATTAAGTCTCAACTTCTAGAGAGAGCATTTGCCAATCTCTAGTGCTTTCCTTCTGTGGATTGTTTCCCTATATATCCTGTATGTAGTTTGTTTGCAGCTAATTGTTTGCTTGTCTTCTACCCCATTCAATTGTGAGCTCCTAGAGTCCTGGACTGTTTTTTGCCTGTCTTTGTATCCCCAGGCTTTGAACAATTTTTGACATGTAGTAGGTGCTTAATAAATATTTGCTGAATAACTGACTTATTGAATGAAGCATTTGTTAAGTACTTAATATGTGCAAAGCATAGTGCTAAGCTCTTGGAATACAAATTAAAGAGTTCACATTTGAATGTGGCAGACAACACATATGGAAGGTTTCAGCTGTAAACCAAGTAGAAAGATCTTATGGTCCTTAACAGTGGCAAAGAAGATGGTAATGCCTCTTCTTTAATGTTATTTCAACTGATAAAATCCTATCAGTTTCTGATGCTGAACCATTTGACAGTGCCAAAGACATTAATGTCATTACTTTATTTTCTAAGTCTTTAATAAAAGTGCCTGTAGCACCTACAAAATCTGTATCCAAGTTATTTCCAAAGATGATGGCTATGTGCACTGGACTAAAATCATTACTATTCCAAAAGAACTTATGTTCATCTTCCAGCTCTATTTCCATCAGGGTTTTTGGGAAGATGGTGGTTGAAGTGGTAGGTGTGGGGGTTTGACTTGCCTTTCACATGCTGTCCCCTGCCTTTCCCTTTGGGAGCTCTTCTCCTTCAACTAGGCATGCTTTTCTGTCTTCTATGTGACATCTGGCTGACAGCTGGTGGGAGTGACAGGCCCCCTCTCCATAGGAATTGCTTCTCTAGATATTGGCAATGAGAGCTGGCTTGAAAGTAGAACTGATAATCAGAGGAGTTCTGCCACTTCCAGGGCTCCTTTGCCCATCTGTCTATTGGTGGCAATAGATCAGCATTTGTTTGCTGGTAGTAATGAGAAAGGTAGGCCCCTTCTCCACAATGATGTCTCTCCTCAATAATAGCAGCATGTGCTGGGTCACAGAAGCAGGTCTGGTGGTTTGGAGGACTTTCCTATTTCCTAAGTCCTGGGGCTCACAGTCCTTGGCTGTTTCCATCATGATCTGAGGGAAGACAGTGGACAAGGTAGTGGTGTTGGTTTAATCCATCTGGTACATGCAGGCTCCCATCTCACCTTCAGGGTACCTTGCAGTTTATTCAAGCCTGGTCTGCCTTCCCCGAGAGGGGATCTAATAAGGTACTGTATGCAATTACAGAAACTTCAACTTTACTGATGTAAATAGGGTACTATCCCTGAAAAGATGTGAATTGCACAAATGTTTACTGACTCTGCTTGTCATCATTTCTTTGAGAAATGCAACTGACATAAAATAGTCATCATAACAGGAAGGGCAAGATTATACCTCATGAATACTTGATCTTGCTATCAAGCAAACAAAAAAAAAAGACAAGGCCAACTGTGGTTTGGGGGACAAACTCATTTAGAGAATATTGCCAAGTGTAGAGGATGACATGTAGAATCACCTCCAACAATGAAAATACTGGAGACAATGAACCAGCAGAGGAGCTTGGTTTAATATCCCACCTAAGTCAGTTCATTTGAAAATCTGAAGATGAAATTGGAAGGAAGAGAACAAATAGAGGACGTGGGATAGAATCACAAAGGATGAGGTGTATGGATAGATCATAATCACATTAATGAAGTATATCATTGTAAATAAGATCACAGATGTACCAAAGTACTAAAGATCCTAAATAATACTGTATAGGAGATACTTTGCCCTGACTTAAAAGCCAGAACTATTAAGGGGGTTTCTTTAAAAAAATGTAATAGTTGATGGAGGGGGTAAATGTTGAACCATACGTATAAAATCTAGATTTTAACAAGAGAATTTGAGAACAATCTTAATCCAAAGGTCAGAAAAATATATTAATTTTTTTACATTTTTATGTGTTATTTCTCTTAAGATGAATTGTTGAAAGCCCATTATAACCTCCTTCCTTACCACTTTTCCAGTCTTCTTTCACCTTTTTTCACATTCCGTACCCTAGTGACACTCATCTCCATCTCCCAACTATGTGAATTTTTATTGGGTGTCCCCATGCATGGAATGCTCTCCTTCCTTATCTCTGCTTCCTGACTCCTTTCAAGTCTCAAATAAAATCTCACCTTCTATAGGAAGCCAATCACAATTCTAGTTTAGCTTCATTGAACCTTATGTGATCAACCACATAAAACACTGTTCTGTCTGCATTAAAACAAACTTGGCCACTGATGTTTTGGGATTTCACTTTATTGGCAATTGCTGGTCTTGCTAATAAAATGATCATGCTTGCAATTTTGTGTTTCAGTTGCTCTTCATTGCAGATTTTTTTCATGACAGGTGGCATATCTAATGACAACATGTCAATGGTATTTATGATCATAGCAAAACTTTCAGTATGTTCCTAAAATATTTCTGTGGGGCTATAAGGAAGAAAATATAATTGGAGGCAAATGCAATCATTTTTCTCCTCCATAGTTGGAAGTATATATATTCCTGATGTCCTCCGAGCTCCTAGACTTTTGAGTAATATTTACAATCAAAAAAATATTTGTATGTGACAGTTAAACTGAATTGAAATGAACACCTTAAATTCCTGATTTTTAAAATAAGTTAATGTTTCATTCATCAGGTAACAGAAACACGAACTGGTCCTCTTGGCTGCAGTAACTATGACAACCTAGATTCAGTCAGTTCTGTTCTGGTTCAAAGTCCTGAGAATAAGATTCAGTTACAAGGTATGTAGGTGCACTTTCATTAATTTTATATGAAACAGGATGACATTTATTAAGTGAATTTTTTTTAAGGTAATTTGTAACATATTGGACTTTTAAAACTCTCTGTTAAAAGGTCAATTTCCTTTTTTTGTGATAAATTCTTGGGGATTTTAAGAAAATGTCATATATTCACTTTCATAATATGTAAAACACCTACATACATGAACACACACACACATGCACACACTGTAGCAATTTGAAGTGAGTTATCCTGTTAACATTTTAAGTACAAAACCCATTATCTTCACCAATTGCTGTGTATTTCTATTTCTATATGAAAGTTTTCTCCTTTCATAGTTTTAAACATATACATGCATACTATAGCAACATAATTTGTTTATATTGTAAATTTAATACTATTGCTCATGACCATATTTACTTTCTGGTAAAGTGATCCTATATTTCTTGAAATATCAATTGATAATGTAAATTCAGAGTATTTCTTTCCTTTTTACTATGTTAATGGAAGTAACTTGAGATGTTTCTAGGGTCTACCCTTTTCATTGTATTAGGTAAGTCAATTGAATAAGCTGTCCTATCAAACTAGTGACAATCAAAAAAAAGTTATGAACATGTATTTGCATGTCTATGTATCATTACTTACACGTAATCAAACACTAGCTCATATCCCAATATAGATATAGAGCATTTAAACAATGGGCCATTAATGCCATAAAGTATCTGGCTATATTGGATGCATTGATTGGGGTATTATCTTGAGGGAGAGGTTGAGGAAAAAGTAGAGACAGAGAAGAAAAGATTGCCTTGTTTTGCCCCATTATTTCAGCTGTATGAGGCTAAATTAACTGTTTATGCAGAAGCTCCTAGGATAACAATTCAGTTTGGCTTACTAAAATTTGTCTCATTTTCAAACTCAAGAAATTTGGCAACATATCTATTTAGATGATACCTAAATCACAAATTTCAAATATTCAAGTGAATAAAGAAAAATGACCAAATAGGCATTTTAAAAACCATTTTAACACTTGAAGAAGTGAACATTAGAAATAATTTTTGTCATCCATTTTATTATCATTTTTATATAAAAATTTTGAAAAATTTTCCCATGAATTTGTAATATATATATAATTGTAATCTTATGCATATGTAATGTACATTACATTATATGATGTACGTTACATTATTAGATATTACATTAATATAATACATGATATAAAATATGATTTTATATATGTATATATGAATACACTGACTAAACCATATATGAATTTACTTATTGCCCCTTTGAAACAATATATATTTTTTAGAAAATGATAAAGCATAGTAAAGGATAATCAATATTCAAATCATAATATCTATTTACATGAATGCAATGGTTGAAATGTCAACTATTTATTGCTGTTAAGGAGTGTTGAGAGACAGAAAGAGCAGAGAGACAGAGGGGAGGGAAATGAAGGAGAAGGAGACAGAGAGAGAGAGAGAGGGAGAGTTGAGAATACCTGCACTTTACCCACATAGAATATAATCCTGATAGAAAATAAACAAATATCACATTTATATAACATTAAAACAAAAAGTTCTTCTTAACAAAATCTGAATGTTTCAGTAATGACAAAATAGAAAATAGCCATTGTCAATTGAGGTCAGTCTTCAGGAGTTATACTTATCATGTAAAGACAAAGATTTTTTTTTCTAAAGCATGATTTTTGTCCTTTTTTTAATCAACAGCACAGATAATACGACCAATTTAAGCATAGCAGTTATTTCTTTATGACTAAAGAACATATCAAATGATACATTTTAGTATTGAAATGCAATAGGTAATTGGACACATTTTCTCTTATTTTTGTTTCCTGTTTTCCTTCCATTTGTCATATTGTGTATTTGGATCTCTCTGTTATAGTTTCAAATATCGACACAAAATGAGAATAGCCAAATTGCAGTTTTCCCCTGTGCTTTCTGATGGCACAGTTCTAAGAAATATTAACATTTATTGAATTTTTCCTAACAATGGAAGCTTTATAGTCCTTTTGTCATTCTTTGACAGTCTACCTAAAAGAAATTCACTTTATTAAACTTTTCATCTGAAAAACTTGCAAGGAAAATGACCAAGGTTGTTCCCATACATGACAAGGAAATGAACTGGAACATGGCTAAATCAGTCTATATGGTTCGCTGTGGGCAGTTTTAATGATCAATAAAGTTCACCTATAGGATTCTCAGTTATGTAGTATGTTTCTAGCAAATAGATATTACAAGTGACATGTTTCTTCCAATGCTAATTTTAATTTTTTATCATATATATTGTAGACCTATGTATGTAAAGATGCTTTTTTTAAAAAAAAAGAAATGAAAATGTTCTATCTGAGATCAATCATAAGTATAACTTTAATATCAAGCATAACTTTATAACATATTTTTTCCTTGGTCCCAAACAGACCTTAGCATTCCTCCTGAACATCCTTTTTTTGAACTTCCTTATTACTGTTGAGGATACCATCATAATGTCAGTCAACCAGGTTCACAACCTTGTTATAATTTTCAAATTCTGATTTCTATTTACCTTACATATATATCCCCATCTTTGCAGTGACATAATCAACACCCTTGTTCAGACCCTCATACCTTCATGCCTGAACTAATGCAAATAGCCTATTTGGTCTCCCTGCCTCAAGTCTCTCCTCATTTCATTCCATTGGAATGACAATTGACAATATTGTCAAATACAGCTGCCAAAGTGATTTTCCTAACTTGTATATCTGACCATATCACCCATAGACTCAAACTCCTGTTAATCCTTTCACCAACATGATCAAATATAAAATCCTTTGTCTTTTAAAACACTTCACAATTGCAATCCTTCATATTTTTCCAGTATTTTTTTTACATCCTACTGCTTTCTTTTTCCTCTGTGTTTCAGCTATACTTACTTAGCACAAAACACTCCACCTTCCACACCTTTGTAATAGCTGTTACGATACTTGGAATGGTATTCCTTCCAATCCAATTTCTTAGAATCAATGGCTTCTTTTAAGGTTCCATTCAAATGTACCAATTCCAGGGTGCCTGCCCTTGCCTATCAACCTCTTCCACTGCCACAAAGTTATCCTCCATCTATTCTGTATCTTGTATGTTCTGATATATAGAGATATATACTTATACACACATACATAGGTTCATAGCTCTATGCATATATGTGCAAAAGTATATATCTATATCTAATCCTCCCCGTTAGAATTTAATAATTATTAGAATTAAGTTCCTTGAGGATAGGGGTTATTTTGGATTTTTATTTTATCACCAAAGTTTAGCACAGTGCCTAACATATAGTAATAAATGCTTTTTGATTGATGGAAATTTGACATATTCTATCCTCCGGTAAATTTTATAAAATCCTTAAAATGGCTTATGTGATGAAGTAATAATTCCATAGTTACTCCACTACTCATATGTGATAACTGTTTATTATCAAATAACAATCATATCAAAAGCTTTCAGAAGCTCCTGATTATCTCTAGAATAAAATAAACTCTCCTCATTTTGACATTGAAGACCTTTTAAAATCTGAATCTACCAGTTTCTAGATTTATTCCTCATTAATACCTAAGACTCTACATTGTAATTAGACTGAACTTAAGAGTCATTCCCTGTACCTATCATTTCATTTCTCATTTTTGAGCCTTTGCATAGGCTGTCCCCCATGCCTAGTTTCCTTCAAGGATGACTCAGGTACCAACTCCTACATGAAGTCTTTCCTGTTCTCATTTCTTAGTGATTTCTTCCTTCTCAACTTATCATGCAATTATTTACCCAGGTACAAACTGTGTGGCTTTGGTAGACTATAAGCTCCTAGAAGCCAAGAAACATTTTGTTTGTATTCCTAGTGCCCAGCACGTGATAAGTTCTTAATAAATATTTTAAATTTAATTTAATGGAATTTTTTATGTTTTAAAATTATTATTTTTCTTTTCTTTTCTTTTCTTTTTTTAATAAAGGGCTTCAAGTCATTCTTCCAGACTACCTACAGGAGCGTTTTGTGCAGGCAGCTCTGAGCTATATTGCCTGTAATTCAGAGGGAGAGTTTATTTGTAAAGACAATGATTGTTGGTGTCAGTGTGGCCTCAAATTCCCAGAATGCAACTGTCCTTATATGGATATTCAAGCCATGGAAGAAAATCTTCTTCGAATAAGTGAGACCTGGAATGCCTACAACAATGATTTTGAGGAATCAGGTAGGACATATACTTTTTTTTAATGGGGCTGTTGCCTATTAGGACGTTTGTGAATGGGAAAGATTTTCTTTACTAATAAATATTAAAGAATTATAGCATAGTATGGATAGAAATGATCATCACATTTTCAATCTTTGTTATGTGCTTGTCTCTAGTCCAATTCTTCCTCGACCTGGCATTCCTTTCACAAAAACAAAGAAAAAATCAAGAAGGAATTATTCTAACGTATTTGACTATCAGTTATAACTAATTCTTTAGTACATGAAAAGTAATGCGTACCATTGCCATTTTGTATCACAAGTCTTTCCTTTTTTTTCCAGTTCTGAAAGTGATGCTTGGGTATTTACCTAGGGCCATTCAGTGTTTTTTTTTTTAATGTGCATTGTGAACCCAGAATGGTTAGGATTTACAAGATTATAGGATTTAGAGCTGAAAGAGACTTTTGGGATCCTCTTGTCTAAAATTTCACTTCATAAACGTAGAAACTGAGTTTCAGAGTTGGATCAAGACTTGGACAAGGTCACATGGGAAGCATTCAACACATTCAAGATTTGAACCTGGCTTCTCTGACTCCAAATAAGTGTTCCTTACACAATATCATCTATCTCTTATTGAATGAGGGAAAATATTAAATCAGACAAATAAGTTCCAATTAATGGTACCTTTTAGTGCCATATAGTATCTGGCTGTATTGGATGCATTATCAGGGGATTTTCTTGAGGGAGAATTTTAGTAGTGTGTATGTGATTTTGTAATACATCTGGATTCTATGATTCAGGATTTACATTTTTCATTTGCATCCCATTTTCCAGGACCAAATTGTTGGGTATGTATTAACTAGGTTCGATCTAAGATGGAAGACTTCTCACTTTTCCTTCACTATTGGTTTCCCTTGAGAATATCAGAATTTGGCTACTTTTATAACCCATTTATGGTGTCACCTGGGGACATTAGAATTTGTCCATGTCTAGAGACCTAGAAAAGAGGTAAAAATAATCCCCCAGCTTCTATGCAAATACTTAAGCTAATGATATGGTGATAGAGGACAAGCTTTATTTTACAATAAATACAATAAATGCAAAACAACAGGGACTCATCCCCAAAGCCAATACATAGTTACTCTTGTGAACCCCACAATCTCATCTGTCTCAGGGAGATTTTATATATTTGACAAAGGCAAACATAAAACAGGATTTGGTAACTTATGACTATTGTGATAATTTGCTGCAAGGCTAATACACTGAAAACTCATGAAAACAGTGTGCAACACTGTTTTAAATAGTGTGCAACACTGATTTGATTAGGCATGTTATGTTTCACTTCTGCATTGTATTATATAACCATTCCTGGTACTTGTCTGCTGGTAAGATAGGCCAAGCTTTGAACATAACTCTTATCATTGGTCACTGTTTCCAATGCCATCTGCCTTTACCAATTGTGAAATGTGTTGGAAAGAGAGGATACTACCACACTCAGTGTTCCCCAGACTTTTCAGTCACAAGGTAACCTCCAATCCTGCACATTTATACCTGGCATAGTTGTTTGGCTAAGATTAATAAAGAGAAAGGACTAACAGAGCAAAGGGTGCCAGAGGCAAAAGTTTACATAGTCAGCAGATATTCTCAAAGCAAAATAGAGGCTGGGTGACAGCTGGTGCGATCATATCTTCTTCACTGGACTGTCTGGAAACAGCTAGAATCAATAATGACACACTTTAGAAGCAGACAGAATGAGAGAGAAGGAAGAGTAACTTAATTCTTTTGAACATTCACTAAATTATCAGCTCTTTCTCTTTAGCAGCCAATTAGGAAGGGAATGCTTCATTATATCATGGTGCAAGCCCATCAGTGAGTAGTCATATATGGTCAGAAGCTGACCCCCAAGCTTTCCAAAGGGTCATTCAGAACCAGGAAGTTCTGAGCATACTCTGGTAAATGCCCCTTCTTCCTTGGGAATAGGGGCAGCTATACAGTAAAATGGACAGAGCACCTGACTTGGAGTCAGGAAGACCTGAGCTCAAATCCGGCCTCAAATACTTACTAGCTGCATGATCCTGGGCAAGTCACTTAACTCTATTTGCCTTATTTTCCTCATCTGTAAAATGAACTGGAAAAGGAAATGGCAAACCACTCCATTATCTTTGGTAAGAAAATCCCAAATGGGGTTACAAAGAGTTGAACACAACTGAAACAACTGAACAATATCACCACCCTGGGAATAAGTACAGTCTCTATTTATACCTCCCCATCAACTATTTGCCTTTCAGTTTTTCCTCTCTATTCCTTATTCTATGCAATTCTCTTCATTCTCCATTCTATGTTTACTCTCTTTTAAAAGTACAACTTCAAGGGCGTGGTTCATGCATGCATTAGCCTTGCTTTAATCAATAACCTCAAAATGTCATGATTTAGTTAATTATGCCCAGGGTAAGAATATTTGTTAATGCTCTATCACTGTGGAAAAAACTCTCACATTTGGAATGTTTAAACTTTGTAAGGAGTGATATTTCAGTGTCAGAACAAAAGCCTTATCCATTACCATTGCTAACCTTTACTGGGCTCTTCCCCAGTCACATTCTCTACACACTATTGTTATGCTCCCTGACAGGTGAACCACCTCCCTGCTTCCAAGTTACTACCAACTCTATCTCACCCTTCTGTGTACTGATGTCTGCCTCTAATTCCTGCTTCTACCCCAAGATTTGTTATATACCTCCGATGCTCTGGCAAGAATAGCATGATTACTACCTAACACCTTCTTCACTTTGCATCAAACTTATATAAAAAATACGGTGTTATATTTTCTCTCCTTATACTAGCAAATTTCCTTTAATACAGATTCTAGTCAAAGTAATGGTCAGGGATGGTATTAACATTTTTTTTTAACTGCACTTGATTTCATTGGTATAGGATGTTGGTGAGGAACTCCCTCTACTAGTACAGAATGGCATCTATTCTACAAGTTAGAATATTAGAAAATTTCCTGAGGCACTGAGAGTATAAATGAGTCAGTCTCTCTGTCTGTGTCTGTCTTTCTGTATGTATATGTCTGCCTGTCTGTCTCTTTCTTTTTCGTTCTCAGCTGGCTATCTGTGATTTAGGGAAAAGAGAAGAAAGTATATCAGAATGTCTCAAACATCCTGCCTTAGTGAAGGAAGCACTTTTTTGAGCATCGATAAAACATTTTAATGCACAAAACAAAATTTTAAAAGATATTATATATGTGTATGTATACATACTGAACATATATACACATATATGTATATATATATGCATATATATTTAAAACATGTAAAGCAGAATTTCACAGTTAAAGGGAAGGTTTGTTAAACACTATATGCTAGGCACTACGCTAAGCAATGAGAAAGGAAATGAACAGCTCAGAGAATTTATTAAATAGGGGCTAATATGATAAGATCTATCCTTTAGAAAAATTAATTTGTCAACTGAGTTGATGATAGACAGTAGTGGGAAAAAATTTGAGGTGACAAGACCAGCCAGCAGACTACTGCATTAGTTCAGCTATGACAGGATAATCTATTGGAGGAAACAACATTCAAACAACTAAGTACAAATAAGATATATATGGGATAAAATGAAGATATTCAATGAAGGGAAAGTGCTAGCATTAATGGGAATCAGAAAAGACTTCTTGCAGATGAAAGGGTTTTAGTTGGGACTTTAAGGAAGACAGGAGGAGATATGAAGGGAGAATAGTCCAGGCATAGGAAACAGCCAGTGAAAATGCCAAATCCGGAGATGGGAGTATTTGGTTAGAGTAGCAGAGAAGAGGCTAGTTTTACTGGACCTCAGAATATGTACATGGGAGTAAGGTGTAAGAATGGAAAGGTAGAAGGGTGTCAGTTTGTGAAGAGCTTTGAATGCCAAAAAGAGGATTTTATATTTGATCCTGGAGGTGAAAAGGAGCCACCGCAGTTTTTTAAGGCCTGCATGCTTTAGGAAGATTAATTTGACAGCTGAGTTAAATATGAATTGTGGTGGGGAAAGATTTGAGGCCTCAAGACTATCTGGGAGGTTATTACATTATTCCAGGCTTGAAAGGATAAAAGGTCTGTACCACGGAAATGGCAGCGTCAGAAGAGAGAAGAAAGATGAATCTGAAACATGTTGCTAAAATGAAAATCAAGAGGACTTGACAACAGTTTAGATATGGGGGCTGAGATAGAGTGAGTAGTTGAGGATACCTGGTTTATGAGCCTGAAAGATCACCATTGTTTAGGGTCAACATCTCAGCTTTTTGGGTTCAAAAACTTGATTTAATCAGTTCTCATTCATTTTGTTTTCTTTATCCATTACCAAAATCTTGTTTCCCTGCAACTTCACTCACTTCATTCACATGTTGAATGTTCTGGATTATAATTTATCTTACATTAATTGCGTTTTAATGAGTTGCTTTCTGATGAGAGGCACTCTAATCACCTAAGTGATGTAAAGACAATGATCATTAATGAGTTAGAACAACTAATACTAGTATCTTTAAAAAAATACTTAGTTTCAGAGTGATGATTACTAACATTGTCCTTAGATTTTATTTTTTCTTTGCTTTCTTTCTTCCTTTCTTCTTTTTTTTTTTGTGTGAGGCAATTGGGGGTTAAATGATAGTCCCACAGCTATTGAGTATCATGTGTCTGACGCTGGATTTGAACTCGGGTCCTCTTGATTCTAGAGCTGGTGCTCTATCCACTGTACCATCTAGCTGCCCTGTCTTTAGATTTTACATCAACTTTTTGGGCCTCCCTCTACTGATTCCACCATCCATGATTCTTTAAAATCAGACACAATTATTTACAATCAGATAGACAGATAGAAAGCCTGGTTCATTCAAATTCTTAGTATTCCAGGAAATTCTCTAAGACTATAATTTGTACTGATAGAGGGAGTTTCTCACCAACAGCACTCTATACAAATGAAATCACATTAAAAATAATTATTTATTAAATATAAAATTATTCATTTTAGGTAATAATTTAACTAAGTAAA